GGCAAAACACGAGCGTTTCAGCCAACTTTCTTTGTTCAAGTAAAATATCTGTTTATGACTGAATAAAAGCTACGTGATGTTAAAGTTCCCATCCTCCACTCAAAAAGGTAATATGCCGCTGTTTAGCTCTAATAACGTATCTGGATGCTGCTCCGCTCAACATCTGCCATGTAAGCACGAGGTCAGATTTAATACATGTTAATTTTTGCTCATTAAATTCTTCCAATCTCTTGCCAAGGTTCTTTTTCGGGCCTTCCTTTGATCTTGAATTTATTCCAGGTTAACCATTTGATAGTTCACATGCGTAATATTGCTCCTAGATCTGTTATTTGAGAAGTCACTTCAATCACAAGAAATAAAAAAAATCTGCATCATTAAATCCAAATCCACGTAATAAACATTGGCACAGACGAGTTTATGCCATTGTGCTAAGATTAACAACCACGTAATCAGAAAAAGATTGATCCCATATCTGCCGTTGACTCTGTGACCTTATATTCCCAGTAATAACAGGATGCCGCGCCTGCGTCAGATGCGGTCTCCCAAAGTGTTATTAATTGATTGTTTCTGTAACATTCACCGAGCTTAGCAAAGACTCAGCTGGTGCCTTTGTGGAGGCAGGTATGGCTGGCTGTGAGCTTAAGAACCTCCTTAATGTATTATTCATACCCATTTGACCTTAAAGATGGAAATGCAAATGGGTGTCAAGAATGAGAGGGATCATCGGACTTTTCAAATGTCAAATAGCCTGGCACAATTAAGACATATTCATTACAAGAACCCACAGGTCTCCCACATCCAGCTGGGATGTAAAACACCTCCAATTAACATTTAGATCATTATCTCGTCTCTAAAGCCGCAGCACACCTTCAATTGTGATGTCTGTGATGCTGTGAGTGTAATCATAGTGAAAAGACTGTGAGGTTTAGGGACTTTACTTAATGGTGTTGGGAGAATACGCTTTCATAGCTTTCTGGGTTGTTATGGGATAATTGATATAGTTATTTTTGGATCCCCTTACAATAACACAGAAAGTAATCTGGTGCTTTTGTCATTTGAAAAAAAAAAGAAGAAGATTGCATTGTATATCAATACTGCCATCTGCTGATAAGGTCAAATACTGACACAAGCCTCATGTGAAGTAAATATTCTCATCATGTCAGCACTTCACCTGTAGGTGGCAGTAGTCACACAAGTGTTACTTTCTCCTCTCCCCTTAAGAAAAATAAATAACTCATAAGCTAAATAAATGTAGCTTTTAATTCTTCATTAAAACAGCTTGGGGTCAGTTGAGCCTAATGGGAGTGTTGGAACAATCGGAGGATGTCGGCCTCCCATACAGGAGGGTCTGCGTCTGAATCTGGCCCAAATGTTTACATCCCCCTTTGTTTCTACATGTGCCATTCAAATGAAACTAAATAATGCAGACATGAAAGCCAGGTCCTCTCCATACCAAGATTTAGACGCACAAATTGCTCAAGTCTGCTGCAGATATTCCTCGTTTTACTCATACTGGAGGTTCCTTAAAAACTTACATGCAGCTACATGCGCAAGCATATGTGAAGGAAATGACAAATACTGAAAAACGGGAAGAAGACGCTTTACATCTTCACTGTTTTAACGACTATTTACAGCATAACATGAGTAACAATATGCTGGTTTAAATAGCTTCAGGGATTGGCCCCAGGGAAAGAAAAGTCAAACTTTAAGGGTAACTCTTGACTGTCTAGCCATTAGGAATTACAAACCAGTGGGCAATACTTTCCAAATGGGTCTCCTCATCCTCTTGAGTTGGTCATTATCACAATTACTCCTGTCAGTTCCACATTCGAGCCTCAAAACCAAAGGTGACAGGGCTTTTTACTGCACCCAGGCTATGGAACAGTTTCCCATTTCACATTAAATCCTGTCCCACCGCTGAGAATTTCAAATCAAAATTAAAGTCTCATCTTTTTTTTTCCCCTTCACTTTTAGTTCTTCCTGAAGTCATGTCCACCCCTAGTTTCTTTTCATCCTGCTGTTTTGTATTGATCAGTTGTCTGATTTTACTCCGTTTTCTCTTCGACTCTTTTGCTTTTATAGTTTGGCTACGTTAACTATTCTGTTCATACAGTTGTTTTTACAAGTGTATAAATTCATGATTTGTGTGATTCTAGTCGCCTCATTAGTGCATTTATACAGAGTGTTTTATGGTATTAGCTTTGTGCCCTCTCTCTCCCATAGTTTGTCCTCTCTCACCCTGCACTTCCCTGCAGGTAGCCGGTCAGGTACTTGATCTGCAGCTACCGGTTTTACCACCCTGTCCAGTGCTGATGTAATCGTGTTAACTGTTGGTTTGTCACTGCTTTCCTTTGTTCTCTCCCCTTTACCCTCACCCGAACCGGTCAAGGCAGATGACTGTCCTTCCTGATCCTGGTTCTGCTGCAGGTGTCTTTCTGATAAAAGGGAGTTGTTACTCCCCACTGGAACAAATAGGCTCTGTCGTAGGGATGCTTTGGATTCTTTGAAGTTTTCCTTGCAGCGCTGCAGGGTCTCAGTCTTCAGTTTTAAACACAGCAGGGATTCTGTTAGACCTATTTCAACCTCAGCTTATAAGCTATTCAGATTAATTTGTGTTAAATGTAAAATTGTAACATCTTAACCTTAATGTTTAAACTTTTTAGGTGCACTTGCAATCTGAAAAAAGAGAATTGTTGGACCAGCTTAAATCAGTTGCTTCAATTGGCAACACGCAACTGAATTTATCCAGATTAAGCTAACTAATTATGCCACCGGTTTAGGTTAGAAGTACTTCAATCATTTTGTTCAGTTTACATTGCTGCAAGTTTATTATATTAAAAAAAAAAGTCAACCTGAAATTTTCAGTTTTTACAACTCAACTAAATGTAAAATGCAAAACATGTTTTTTTTCATTAGATTTACCTTTTGTTTACTCTGTAATCCTACTCAAAGAAAATTTTATGAAAAATCGATGTCATCGCGCTCAACAAGTAGTAATTTATGTGAAATGAGGTTTCAAAGAACAAAATGTAATTTCAAGTTGGTAGAATTCATAAAAGCATATTACCACCATTAAAGCAGAAAGATAAATCATGTCCATTTGAAACTGTACTTTACTTCAAATACAGCTCAGAAACATTCTTTACAGTGTTCTGGAAATCAGTGTTGCTCAATGGCTGTGGTTTTAAATGTGCTCTGTAGATGACAGTGGCTTCCTTTGACTTGCCATACTTGTTCCTGTTTAAAGGTCAATCATGGACCTTTTGCACTCTTTGACACCCCTGATGGTGGGACTGACTCTTAACCCAGTGAAACAACATCACCATAGCAACACTTCAACTGTTTCATCTTGTGTGGGGAAGTAATCAGTCATATCTCGTCGGAACGTTTAAGCAATCAACATATAGCAAATACATCTATAATAAGCACTTTTTGAAAACAACATGCTTTGCTATAAAACAAACGTCAAATTAGACAAAATCCTGAAAACAAATTCAGAAAAATACAAAAAGATAAAATGGTTGATTCAAGTGTAAAAAGAAAAAAAAAGTATAGCCATTGAATCAAAGTGGCCTCCAGTAAAGAGGGTTGTTACAGGTTATGAGAATGACTGCAAATGTTGGGATCAAGACCTCGTGGCATCATTTACGGTGTGATTTTACATGCAAAAATGATTTGAAATACCATGTTAGCTAGCTATAATGCACAATAGGGCTGAGAACCTGCAGTGTTATTTATTATTAATCAAGTAGATGATGTGTACAGATGTACACTGAACAGAAATATAAATGCAACGCTTTTGTTTTTGCTCCCATTTTTCATGAACCGAACTCAAAGATCTGAGACTTTTTCTATGTACACAAAAGGCCTATTTCTTTCAAATATGGTTCACAAATAAGTCTAAATCTGTGTTAGAGAGGACTTCTTCTCTGCTGAGATAATCCATCCACCTCGCAGGTGTGCCTTAGGCTGGCCACAATACAAGGTCACTCTAAAATGTGCAGTTTTGTCACATAGCACAATGTCACAAATGTCGCAAGTTTTGAGGGAGCGTGCAGTCGGCATGCTGACTGCAGGAATGTCCACCGGAGCTGTTGCCCGTGAACTGAATGTTCATTTCTCTACCTGCCGTGCAATAATCATGTTGTCTAATCAGCATCTTGACATGCCACACCTGTGAGGTGGATGGATTATCTCGGCAAAGGAGAAGTGCGCAGATTTAGACAAATTTGTGAGAGAAATAGGCCTTTTGTGTTAAATAGAAAAAGTCTCATGTCTTTGAGTTTAGCTCGTGAAGAATGGGAGCAAAAACAAACTTGTTGCGTTTATATTTTTGCACAGTGTACGTTAAAGCAAGTCATTAGCTTCACAGGTTGTTCTGGTAAATACACATCCACATGTAGTCGTCCTCAAATTGTTTCATACCCTCCCATTAAAGAAGCAAAGAAACAGCTGTCACTACAATAAGCTGAAATTGACAAACGTAACAATAAATAAAAACTTTATGAAAATCATGACATTGCTTTTGAATTTTGGTTCAACAGAAATATTTAAAAAACAAAAAACAAACAAGCATGATAGGACCCATCAACTAATATTTTGTTGAACAACCCTTTGAGGCAATCACTGCAATCAAGTGTTTTCTGTAACTCTCAGTCAGACTGTCAACAGGTATTTTGATTTTGGCCCACTGCTCATCAGCAAAGTGCTCTAATTTGTCTTTTTTTTTTTTTTTTTTAATTATTAACTTCAGCCACAATTCAAAACCAATGTCTTATTTCACTGAATTATAATTTATTAAATTTTTATTTATTATTACTTTTTTTAGTTTCAAGTTAATTGAGTGACTATTGTGAATTTTGCCTTTTCTTTAATGGAAGGGTATGAACACACTTGAGGACGACTGTGTAAATATCGCCTGGCTGTAATGTAAAGTGTCCGCCTGCAGGGGGCAGCACTCACCGCCGTCCGTGTTTACATACGCAGAAGAAGAACTGGCCACTTTGTACACGGAAGCAGGAACAGGATTTATCAGAGCCCTGCGGTCTGTCGAGCTGTATTTGTCAACGCGGATTGTCTCTGAGAGCATCGGGGCACGGATTAAATTAGACAGATTTGGTTTCTCTTTCGCTGCCGTGTGTGGAAACAATGGACGTGTCTCGGGCCGCCGTGCTGCTGCTCACACTGAGTCTGTGCTGCTGCCTGCTCACAGGTGAGTCTAGTTGTTTTGTTTGGTTTGGATGGTTGTTTATTTGTTTTACAGATATGTGGTTAGCTAGTATAGGAAGTCACTGAGCGTGATATTGCACACTCACACTTGTGTTTAGTGGGAAAGGAGAAGCAAAGCAACGGACTTCGATCTGAGTGGAAATCAAATCATTTGACCTGGTTATGATTTACTGAATTTTATTATTGATAAAATCAATTTTCTGGCTGTTTAAACAACACAGAAAGTAGCATTTCACTGCATATTTTGTGTATCAGGTTGGTGACTGTATAGAAGTGAAGTAAAGAAATAAATTTGACTTTTTCTTTTGCTACTTTTTGTTTGTGACAATTTGGGAAAACACATATTTTGATACGAAGATGCACAAAATAAGCAAATTATAAAATAAAAAAAGCCTTAGTTGATTCTGTGCCCTCCCCACGTTAGCTGTTTGTGATAAAAATCAATATTTAATGTGACAAAATAACCTTTCTTTTAGATAAAAAGGCAACACTTTAGATTACAAGCATTTATTTTTTTGAAATCCAAATTTACAGGACAAGTTTGTAACTAACACAGTGCATACCAATACATACCTGTCACATGTATAGGGACAGAATACCTTAAGAAAAAAGAGGAATAGTAAAAGACATACTGCTTCTTTTGAAAGTGTAATCATTAAATCTGTCAAGGGAACATGTGTGATTTTACTCTCCTGAGACCAGTGACAGGCCTCATGATGTTCACTTCACCAGCAAACTACGGTGGATGCTTATTTATGATCTCTTAGCTCACATAACTGAGTCTGTAATTTGTGCGCAAAATTCTCCAAACCTGCAATACCGGTGCATCTGCAAATCACCTCATGTGACACTCACACAATAAATTAAAAGCAACAACAGTAGTATAGTTTTGTAATGAGTCAAGTGTAAATAATCTGCTTTGTAGTCGTGTTTGTCCGACCATTCAACAAGCGTATAATTTTTCAGTACTATAAAGTGGTTTACTGTTGTTCACTAAAGCTGACAGGCATATGTTGATATGTAAAGAACTTGTGCACTGTCCTACACAATTAATTAGATTTAATTTCACTTTAAGTTGCAGACTGTCATCTAAAGCATTAACCTACTATTTTTAAATGTGACATTACCGAGTCCCACTCATACGCGGTGTGTCCCACAGACATTTGGGGCCTCGGCCTTGATGAGTAGAGTATGCCACATGGGTAGACACACTGACATACTCTGTGCCCACAGATACTCTTTTACAATCTACTACAGTCCCGTACAACAGCTCTGCCATGACTCCTATTACATTAACAGAACTGATCAGTTTTGCTTACTTTGTTGACATCGATGAGAAGGCAGGATGGTACAGCTGGATTGCATTACATTACACAGGAAGACCTCATCATTTAAATGTAATTAAAAAATCAAAATGCTGGGAAACAATGAATGTTTAGTAACTTAGGCTTACAATATAAGTGGTACCGCTCTTCTTTGGTATGAAGTGTCGTACCGAAAATAGAAGGAAAAACACAAAACGGAAATGACAATTGGTTTTATCAGTTGTGGTTCATCCTGTGTATCAGATTAGTTTTCCAGTGTGGGCAGGCTACCTTCTCTGCCTTCATGTTATAGCCCATTATTATGCGTGTTACATCGTATAATCTAATCATCTTAGCAAATAATCTGAGTTGATTTAATCATATGGGGGAAGCTGAGGAAGAAGACAGAAAATGTTAACGACACAAGTAGACGTAGAAACTAATGTTCAAAAATTTGCAATGGAAGAAGAAAAGTAATAGTAATGAGGACAAACAAGCAGGTGTGTTTAGTGTAAGTCACCAGTACAGAATTTATAGGATTATGACATTAAATGGCATTTTATTCTCTATTCTTTTTTTTTTTTTTTTTCACAGGGTCTCCAGTGAAAAAAAGAAGAGATGAGGTTGGAAATGTTGATGAAGCAAAGAGCCAAAACTTGGATAGCAGTAAGAAAGGACTGACAAAAAGTCAGGCAGGGGATGGAAATCAAAAGCCAGCAAACACTGAGGATCAAGTGCAGGGGTCTGATTTGCAGAAAAATCCGCCAGGTAAAGAGAACAAAGCGGGGAATGAAGCGACAGGGGACCAAACTGCTGATCAGAACCCTGCAAACAACGCAGAAACGGACAAAGGAAAGGATAAGGATGTAAAGCCAGACGAGAAGAAGGGGCCGGAAGAACAACACACCAGCATAGATGACAGTAACAAACAGAAACCTGAAGGGGAAAGCACAGGGGTAAAAGATACTAACAATAAAGAAAATAGAAAAGGAAAGGGTAATAATAAAGATCCACATGCAGAAGAAAAAGTTGGTGAAGACAAACATGCAGAAGAAAAAGTTGGTGAAGACAAACATGCAGAAG